GCGATATCTTGCAACTTATTCCAACCAAGGAATGAATTCTTATTATCTGCTGATGATAAGAAATTTTGCAAAGAACCATTTATTAAGTATTCGTAAACAAGAGCACGAATAAATCCGTCAGCACAAATTCCAACCAAGCGAACCACATTGACATGGTGGATTTGACACATTGTCCCCACTTCGTTTATGAAATCTTCCCCATTTTCATTTGAATTGTTGAGGATTTTCACAGCAACAAGTAACTCTGAGGAAAGCTTTCCTTTGAACACTGTTCCGTAGGCACCTTGACCCAACTTTTCCTTGAATTGACTTGTTATCCTCTTAATATCAGCATAGGAATATCTACTTGGCTTCATTGCTCTGTATTCATCCAAAAATCTTTCAATTCTAAGCTGATTTTCTTTTTCCTTTTTGTTTGAGTTGTAGACATAGTAGATTGTCGTCCCCGTCGCTATTAGAACTAAACAGAGTGCCGAAATACCTGCAAATATTTTCCTTTTGTGTCAAATGTTTTTTAAAGCGGTTTTAGCCATTTTAAACTCTATTGAAAACATACACTTGATTAACTTCCTCCCCATTATATTCATAAAAGAAAGAAAAAGGAAGAAAAAAAAAGATATGAAATGAAGGTCTGCGGATATAGTTCACCTAATATCTTCAGATTTGGCCTTCTATGATTACGACCTGTAAAAGTTGTTCATGAAATAAGGGCCGGTTTTCAAATCAATGAAATCCAAAATTATAGTTGGAAAGTAAACTTGGGAGTGTAAAATACCTTTGCAATGTTCACATGATGGAATGGACCAATGCAATAATAATTTTCCATCATATATATATGCAGGATCTGATGTGTAGTCATGCACCTTGATACAAGACATTAGGGGCATTTCATCAATGTAACAATAATCACCAAGGACAGCATAAATATGGTTACCAGAATTGTTGCCATGGCATGGGCTCAATCTCGCCAGACCACCACTACCATACATGCTGGAACAATATTTATCTCTTACTGTTGACGGTGGACAACTGAATAAGGTTGCAGGGCTTACTAATTCAAAGGGATAAGAACCATTACTGTAAAACAACTCCCTTGGCAAGCAACCATCATAAGGAATTCCGCTAATTGCTTGAGATGTGTAGTTAATCCAATCAACACGGAACTTAGCTGACGACGATGGAAACTCAAGTATAGTCTCTTTGTCGTCAGTGCATGAAACATCAAATCCCCGGAAGCCACGATGGATTGGCTGCCTACCTTTAAGTCGAAATGGGCATCGGATGGGTGGGCGGTAGATTTCATGGCCTATTCCACCATTGACTGCATCTACTACTATTACGACTATCATGAGCAACCACCGTGAGAAATTCATGATGGCAAGAAATTATTTGCAGAGTACAAGTATCCTTGAAGATGATATGATATGATATGGACTTGGGTTTCTTTTTTTCTTTATTGTGTGGATTACTTGAGATGACATGGGCCCCACTCCTTCTGGATGTTTTAGTCAATGGCCGACGGGTACCGTGATCTCTTAATTCTTATCTGATTAAGCAAATAAAAAAAAGACTTTATATTATCTCTTTAAACTGCACTAGATTGGAAATTTCCCTTCCCTTTTGCTCTGACAGCATGTCTGGAGGAAGTCTCCTATTTGCTGCTTACAGAGCCCTCCTCCTTCATCTTCTTCTTCTTGTTGTTCCTTCCTCTTGTTCCCAAACAGCTTCCAATAATATTACAGCTAATAAAGCTCATGATTGTACCCGTTCTTGTGGAAATATTAACATAAGCTCTCCATTCCGATTGAAAGGAGACTCTAAACACTGCGGCGTCAGCGACAATTACAATAACTTCGAGCTATCTTGTGAGGCAAAGGGAAATGGTACTACTCATCATGCAGTGCTATCCTTGTTATCAGGAAAGTATTATGTACAAGCAATCAATTACAATAACTTCACAATCCGACTTGTGGATGCTGGTGTTCACAAGATCAATGACAACCACTTCTCCCACCCACTCTACTCCTTGACCCCTTTCAACTTTTCTTACTCTGATTATTACAGCCCCATTTACAGTTATGATTACCCAACAGCATCATCAATGTCTATAATCTTCCTGAGCTGTGAAATTCCAATGAATCCTTCCGATCTCATTGTTGAAACAGCTCCATGCATCAGTTCTTCTTCCAATTCTTCTTTCTCCAATTTAACAACATATTCTTATTTCATAAAATTGCGGGTTGGGCGTCCCCTAAGGTTAAACAATTTGGGGGATTCCTGCAAAATAACACTAATGATTATGGTGTCCCCTTCAACTGAGGAGCACATGACGTCTTGCAAAGGAATATTTAATGAAATAGCGCATGGCTTTCAACTCTCATGGCTTTATTATGCATGTTTCGAAATTTGCGGAACAAGTGGTGATTGCCGGCTGAACAGCACCGGCAATGGAATTCAATGCTCACCCCGGGAAGAAGGTTAGACAATTGCCAAACCTTTAAATTATAAATTATATATTAAAGAAGGCTTATTTACTTCTCTGAAACTATGGTGAAATATCAGTTTTACCCCTCGAAATCAAAGTTGTTTGACCCACTTCGATGACTATGATTACGTGTTGAACTGTAATTTCCAACAGTTACAGTTTTCTTTTCAATGTAGCACCCTGGCTCATGAAGATAATAATGTTACAGTTTTCTTTTCACAATTTGTGTATAATTTATGTCTTCTTTCGCAATGTAGAAATCCCTTGGTACGACAAGATCATGAAGTCCATAATCAATAAAATAGGCGAGTGGATCCCTCAACTCTGTAAATAGACGTTTACTTTTCTTTGGCCTTTTCGCTTGACTAACCACCTTACTCATTCCATTGATCGATTCATTTCTTTACTTCTGTTGCAGGACACCGTCTTTACCCCATATATAACCTCTTCGGCTTTGAACGGCGTTGCCCTATGTATTATTCCGGATTATACCTTGGCCAGCTTCTGGGATGTGCAGTCGCTTTCCTAGGTAAGAGAATACTTGTGTGGATCATTAATATTCTTATTTTGATTCTCATACCTTGGCCAGCTTCTGGTATGTGCAGTCGCTTACCTAGGTAAGAGAATACTCGTGTGGATCACTGGAACATTAATATTCTTATTTTGATTGAGATGGATTTGCAAAGGAGTATATTATTATTATTATCATTATTATACTTCGTGTTCATTAATTCCATTTTTTGTGAAACATGCAGCACTATACGTAGCAGCCAAATTTACAGTTGGTTTTCCCTTTGTAACTGCACTGGTAATATATAAATGGCGAAGGAGGCACTTGTCAATGTATGAGAATATAGAAGACTTTCTACGGAGTAATAATAATCTCATGCCAATAAGGTACTCTTACTCCGACATCAAAAAGATGGCCAGAGGTTTCAAGGACAAATTGGGGGAAGGAGGCTATGGCTCTGTATACAAGGCAAAGCTCCGCAGCGGTCGCCTTGTAGCCATCAAGATGTTAAGCAAGTCCAAAACTAATAATGGGCAAGACTTTATCAATGAAGTTGGTACCATTGGAAGGATTCGCCATGTTAATGTGGTGCGACTTATTGGCTTCTGTGTTGATGGTTCAAAACGTGCTCTAGTATATGATTTCATGCCTAATGGGTCTCTTGAGAAATACATCTTTTCTCAACAAGGAGATGTGTCTTTAAGTTGCCATAAAATATTTGAAATCGCACATGGAGTGGCTCGTGGTATTGAATACCTCCATCAAGGCTGTGACATGCAAATTTTGCACTTTGACATCAAGCCTCACAACATCCTTCTAGACGAGAATTTTACTCCCAAGGTCTCTGATTTTGGGTTAGCAAGGCTATACCCATTGGATAATAGCATTGTATCTTTGACTGCAGCAAGAGGAACCATGGGATACATTGCTCCAGAGCTATTCTATAAAAACATTGGAGGTATTTCGTACAAAGCCGATGTGTATAGTTTTGGAATGTTATTGATGGAAATGACTGGTAGAAGGAAGAACCTGGATGTGGGTATAGAACAATCAAGCCAATTTAGCCAAATCTACTTTCCAACATGGGTTTCTGATCAGTTGAAGGCAGGAAAGGACATAGAAATAGGAGATGATGCAACAGATGAGGAAAAGAAGATCATAAAGAAGATGATGATGGTGGCTTTATGGTGCATACAAATGAAGCCTATCGAACGCCCTTCAATGAATAAAGTAGTGGAGATGCTTGAAGGAGAAATTGAGAGCCTCCAAATGCCTCCAAGGCCTTTCTTATACCCACAACAAATTCCTGCAGATGAAGTTGGTGTGGACAATCGAAGTCCCTGTACATCAAGTGCTTCAGAATCTGGAGAGATTACTTTGATTGCGGATGCAAATGAAGTGAATTAATATTAGTCACGATGTGGATCTATATAAGGGAAAGTTAGCAGCTCTACTCTGTATTTGATCATAGCAAAAATATGTTTACATATTGTAATTGATTTAAGAAATAATCAGCCTCTGCCTTTGGTTATTGTTCGAGAAACTGCCTGCCAGAAATGCAATGACTTGAACTTTGATGACAATTAGGTTTACACAAATCAATTGCCCAAGAGAAACAATTCATTTGTATATGGATATGTTATCGTGTGGGCTTATTATGCTTGAACCAAGGGTTCAAAATTAAACAAGACCATATACGTCAAATAATCTCCATATCTGAATTAGAATCCAGTTCTACCGACAATGACTAAATCATATCTAAGAGTTTACAGACCCAGAGCAAAGCTACAGACTTGGATTTGGACCAAAGTGAAACTCAAACTCAAACTCAAAAACCTTAGTGCAAATCCCTAACCTCCTTAACTTCTAGGGCTGAAATCTGATGCAACTCTGATGTGGAAATACCATACCCCTTTTGTGAACTAGAGCTTAATGGAGTCAGCAATTTGGGCTAAAAGATTGAAAAGTGCAAACTACACGACTGAACCACAGACAGGAACGAAGAAAAAGCTTAAAAAACATTAGCCTAAGCTGCACAATCCACGTCGGCCGACCGTGGAGACCTTCCAAAGGGAAGTGCCAGTTTCACTAAATTCTAAATTCTTAACATAGGAATATGGCAGACAAACTTGATTAACAAATTAATTAAAAGAAAAAACCGCAACTAAACCAATCTGATAAGTGGTAGAGTGCTATAATCTTCTCTTTGACATAGATAGATAACACACATCACAGAAGTAGAAGACATTGCTGTTAAAACTTAAAAAAAAGCTCTGTTATTAGATCATTGATCCCATCCTCAATCCTAAAAAAAGTCAGCAAAGCCTATAGATGTTCTAAAACAACCACTCGTAAGGTGGATTCATCGAGTTTAATAACCAAGGCCAAAACAAGCATGAGACAGATGTTCTAAGCAACTACTCCGTTTCTTTCTAGTTTCTACTAAATAATGTTGCCTCCATCCATTTTCAAATCCTCCAGGTGAGCTCTACTTGACCTCTACCAAACATCCTCCTCGCACAGCCGCACAGCTCACAATAACTTTGTGAAATGCGCTAAGTTTAAGTCTCTAAGATTAAGTATTTTGGGAGGAGAAAAAAATAAAACAAACTCAATTGCAACCATCACTAATCAGAAACAACAAAAGAATTGTTGTTAAAAATATGTACAACAACTTAACCTAAACCCATAAACTCATCTTACTACTAATTATACAATAACACATTCCTCGTTCCTAACTTGTCACAATTTCAGAGACTTCAATTGAAAAGTGAGAGATTAAAAAAAATTACCATTTCCATCACACGCGTTGCCCCCATCTCAAACAACACCCTGGCAATCTCTTGATCCACCGGCAAAAGTACCTAACCCGCCTTTCGACGAAAGAGAAACCGCCACGCCACGGCACAAAACCCTCAAGAGCCGCCGCCTCAGCCTCCACCCACCTCTCCGAAACTCAACCCTAGCCAAAAGCCTCACGTTGAAGCTCACGCTTCCACGCGCTTTGTCCGCGTCGATGCCGTGCCCCACCGGAGCGCCAACGAACGAATTCGCCGCCGAGAAAGTCGCAATGACAGACGTCCGATCCTTAGTCCCCTGAGCGAACGGCAGAATTAGACGACCTTGTGCATTCCTAATAACAAGACTTGATGCCGAATCACCATTTGATAAAACATAACCCTCAAAATTGATTTAATGTTATATTGCTAATATTCCTTTTGTCATCTATAGTAAAACATTGCTGTTTGTACCAAAATTTGCACTTTTTTGCCAAAACTCTTCATTCAAGCCAGTCATCAACATTCTTGGAAATTGGGCCAAG